CAACTTTGTTGTGTGCTCTAACCAACCGAGCCATCTGGCCGCACACCGGCAGCTCAGCTCAAGTCATTGTCTTCAATCTAGTTGTGGAGGGCGCAGCTCACTGGCCCATGTGGGAATCTAACCAGCAACCTTGTTGTTCAGAGCATGCGCTCTAACCAACCGAGCCATCCGGCCACCCGTACCCAGGATTGGTTTTAATCAAGTAAGGTGACAGACACAGAGACAGCTGCTTGCAAGTTTAGTACTTATAGTGCCACAGCACACAGGGCCACGTGGGAAAATGGCAGCATGGCTCCATTGGCAAGGGGCGAGGGACAGCACAGCCCAGAGCCCATATTGTTTTCTGTGGGAAGGAACGGTGAGGCAGTGCAGGTGAGTTTGAGCGCTTAAGACTGGTCAGTGTCAGCAATTTCAGTGGGCTCACCTAGGGGGCGGGCTCTACTTGTCCAGTACCTGGTGATTAGGCAGCGAAATCCTGGCCCAGTGTGCGAGTTAGATGAAGGAAGTGGCTGGGGGTGTGGGCTCTAGACGGGCTGGTTTGCTCATGGAAAGCGTGTTTGCTGTCTCAAGGAATTAGCTAGCCCTGGGAGGGGCAGGCTCTCCCCAGCCAGCGAGAGCTCCTAGATTAGGGGTCGGCAAACTTTTGAGACGGAAAAGCCAATCCTGTCCCTCACAACAATTTAAAAATTATTTGAGAGCCATAAAACAAATGAAATCACCATTATGTGAATACCTTTTAAACATTTTATAAATGAAACTATGATAGTTTTGTTTTCATTTTCAATTTTATTTCAGAGCCACATGTACGTCTCCAAACAGTCGCATGTGGCTCGTGAGCTGCAGTTTGCCAAGCCATCCTAGATGTCAAAGCATCATACATACGGAAAATAAAAGCCATGATGAATACAGCTCTCATTCCCCTGACTCTCCTCCAAGAACCTTCTCCAGCTGACACCAGCTGCCTCCCATGGTGTTGTCAGTTGATCTGCAAAAATGTCTGCCAACCACTTCTCCCATCCCCTTACTAAAATTCACGAACTTCCTGCCATCAGAAAGTGGGTTCCATTCCCTCCCATTGGACCTGGGCTGCCCTGCGACTTGCTTTTCTGGGACAGAAGAGATGTCATGCCAGTTGCATGTTCTTGGGAGGCCCGAGCTGCCATGTAAAAATGTCTGGTTACCCTGCTGGAGAGATTTCACAGGGGGAGAGAGAGAGAGTGCCTGGACACATGAGTGACACCGGCTCAGACTTCCTGCCGCTATCACACCCCACTGACTGGCTATGCAAGTGCCCTGGCTGTGTCAGCTATCTACTGCTGCAGCACAAACCACCCCAGTTTGTTACTTGTTCTGAAAACAGGCCCCCAAGAGGGAGGAAGGTGGGTGTAGTGGCCAGTCCTCAGGCCTGGGCTCTGAAGTCCCAGAACTTCCTACCACATTCAACGCATCAGAACAGTCACAGACCCAGTGTGACTGGAGCATCACAAACATACAGGGAGGGCAGGAACTGATGGTGACGGCAGAAGACAACCAGCCTCACCAGCCAACAGCAGAACCAACCAGCTGAGCTCAATCTAGATTACAGAACCAGGAGAACATGAATAGTTGTTTTAAGCCAGTAAGTTTGGGGTGGTTAGTTACACAGCAACAGGTAACTGGAACAGATGTTGGTACTTAGAAGAGACACATTGCCCCAACAAAATTCCAGCGTGGCACTGACTTTGGAACCCCGCAGAGGTGCACACAGGCAGGGCAGTGAGGACACTGCTGATGGAGGCTGGAGGCAGGGTGAGCCGGGATAGGTATTGGCAGAAAAATGGCAAGACAGTTGCTTGTGGTAATGTGGAAGACAGAAAGTGAATCTAATGATCTTCCTGGCAGCGGCTTAAAGGGCCAATTGGCTTCATTCCACACAACAAGGCAAACCAAAGGGAAGAGGAGTGTTCTCAAAGACATTTGTGGTGCAGCTTTTGCCTAATGGAGTGGGTTATAATTTGATACATAGAAAATGCAGTTTTTAAAAAAGGGTTGTATCTGCTTGAGCTCGAATGGACAGGCTTTGAAATAAATGAGGCCTCTGGGCCCCTAACTTTCTACAGGCAAATGGCTGGCTGAGGAAGCTACCCAGCAGCAAATATGGGCCACTTTCTATGGAAAAGGGAGGACAACGGAGGTGCAGGGCCAGGAGCCCAGGAGAAGCCAAGAACTGCTAAAAACAGTGGAGTAGGGGAGCTCGTACAGGGAGCAGGCGAGCCATGCTGAAGGAACATCAGGACAGGTGCCTGGCTGCAACTCACAATTGCGAGGGACCAGTGACTCCGGAGCGCACGCTTCCTTTCTCAAGGGGATGTCTAGCACTTGTGCTGGGGAATGGAATGTTGGGTGTTGGGGTGCAGATAACAGGCCTCTGCAGCAAAAGGGGCCACACCCAATGTGCCTCACCCAACCCTGGCCCTTGGGCACATCATAAGACAATGGACTCCTAAGCCCAGCACCTTGGTGAGATGGTCATTCTGGAGGTCTTAGAAGGCCCTGAGTGCAATCTTCCTGGTGCACAGCCCGCCTGCGCTGGCTCTGGGCTTGCCTGCGTGACTCGCTTTGTCCAGTGGGGCACTAAAAAGCATAATTCCATCAGAGGCCCAATAAATGCTTGCCCAATGGGCAGCACCCTCCATGCTTCCTGCCTGGCCATGTGGGAAACCCTGCACAGTGTGAAGCCACACCGAGAGGTTACATGGAAGAGAAGTGAGGCACTCCAGTGGAATTCCCAGGTGAGTGCAACCAAAGCAGGGACCCAGCGGGCCCCCACCCCCCACCTCCCTTTGTCTCATCAGCCAGTATGATGCATTGGAAAGCTACTCCTCTAGTCAAATCCTCCAGTGGTGTCACCTGTTGGTGGTCTGGTCACAATGGCCACCTCCCTTTTTCAAACACACCAGACATGCTGGCAATTCAGAGCCTTTGCCCCGACTCTTCCCTCTGTGCCCACAGGGCTCACACCCTCTCCTCCCACTGGTTGTTCAAACTGACCTATCAGTGAGGCTCTACTCTGCTCACCGCCTTCACTGACACACCCCGCCCCCCCAACACAGATCCTTTCGTTTCCCCTCTTTATCGATTTCTAACAGGCATATAACTCACGTAGCACCGGCCTTTTCTGCCTCCCTCACTGGAATACGAGCAGGGAGGGAGCTGGCATTTGTTACGTGTGGAGGCGTTTCAGCAGGTAGCGGGGTGAGAGCCCAGCTGGAGTGGCCGCCAGCAGACATGGGTGGTAGGCAGAGGCCCCCAGGGACATCAGGCCCTGGACTTGCTGTTTAGGAAGGACCTGCACCAGGCTGTTCAGTGCCGTGGGCATCGCCCACCTCAGCTAAGGAGCTTGAGGCCCAAGGGAGGTTGGGGTAGCCTGAGGGGCGGACCCAGTGATCCCCACGCGGCCCCTGTGAAGAGACGTCGGGCGGCTGGGGATGAGGGAGGGCGGTCAGGGGCCCTGGTCCTGCCAGCTAGCCCCGTTCAGCTCGGGCCGGGCCGTCTCCTACGTTCTGCAGGCACTGGCCGCCCCAGTCCCTACTCCACGGCGGCCCCGCAGCTCCGGGGTCCCTTCCGCACCCCCGCCTGCTGCCCTGCGGACGCCGAACCTTTTATGGGGAGCCGCAGCGAGTCCTTCAGGGCCCCTCGGGACGTTCCGGGGCGTGCGGCCAGGCCCTGGGGCCGCGCGCAGTATCGGGGTTTGACGGTCCGCGCGGGACGCGGAGCCGGCAGCGCCGACGCCCGCACAAAGCTTCCCGCGAAACTGACGTAGCGCCTGGCGGCCGCGCAGGCGCCGCCCCCAGCCGCGCCCCTCCCCCGCGCTCGCCCCGCTCCTCAGCGCGCCGGCGTACTCGCCAGCCTCCCATTGGTCGCGGCGTGGCGGCGCGCGCCGGCCGGTGCAGGCATGCAGGAATCGAACTGGCAACTTTGTTGTGTGCTCTAACCAACCGAGCCATCTGGCCGCACACCGGCAGCTCAGCTCAAGTCATTGTCTTCAATCTAGTTGTGGAGGGCGCAGCTCACTGGCCCATGTGGGAATCTAACCAGCAACCTTGTTGTTCAGAGCATGCGCTCTAACCAACCGAGCCATCCGGCCACCCGTACCCAGGATTGGTTTTAATCAAGTAAGGTGACAGACACAGAGACAGCTGCTTGCAAGTTTAGTACTTATAGTGCCACAGCACACAGGGCCACGTGGGAAAATGGCAGCATGGCTCCATTGGCAAGGGGCGAGGGACAGCACAGCCCAGAGCCCATATTGTTTTCTGTGGGAAGGAACGGTGAGGCAGTGCAGGTGAGTTTGAGCGCTTAAGACTGGTCAGTGTCAGCAATTTCAGTGGGCTCACCTAGGGGGCGGGCTCTACTTGTCCAGTACCTGGTGATTAGGCAGCGAAATCCTGGCCCAGTGTGCGAGTTAGATGAAGGAAGTGGCTGGGGGTGTGGGCTCTAGACGGGCTGGTTTGCTCATGGAAAGCGTGTTTGCTGTCTCAAGGAATTAGCTAGCCCTGGGAGGGGCAGGCTCTCCCCAGCCAGCGAGAGCTCCTAGATTAGGGGTCGGCAAACTTTTGAGACGGAAAAGCCAATCCTGTCCCTCACAACAATTTAAAAATTATTTGAGAGCCATAAAACAAATGAAATCACCATTATGTGAATACCTTTTAAACATTTTATAAATGAAACTATGATAGTTTTGTTTTCATNCGACCTCGGCCCGCTCGCCCGGCTCGCCAGGCGCGCCGCGGCCCCGCCCCGGTCCCGCGCCTCCCGAGGGAGCGGCGCCGGCGGCCGAGCGCAGGCCTGGCCATGACAGACTTCAAATTGGGCATCGTACGGCTCGGCCGGGTGGCCGGGAAGGTGAGCGGCGCGGGGCCGGGGCGCGGGGCTGGGCGGGGGTCGCAGGGCTTGGCGGTTGTGCGGGCGGCGGGCCGGCGGCATGTCCCCGCGGGGCAACCCTCCGGCCGTGGCCTGGGGCTCCGACGGTGCTCCGGGGAGGAGGGGGCTGTCGGCTGCACCTGCGACGCGGGAGCGCAGCGCCCTTGCGATGCGGCACGCTCGCTCCTTGCCAAGACCAGTGTGTGCGCGCCGCTCCGTGCCTGCGGGTCACGGTGGAGCTTCGCGCAGGTTTCACGCTGCCGGCGGTGGCCACGTCTGGCTGAGCCTCAGTGGGCCTCGCCGGAGCAGGGCCTTCCTCCGCTTCTCTCCCATACTTGGCCCCGCCCTCCCCGTGTTCGAGGCTGGGGCTTCCTAGCACCTGTGGGCATCGAGGCTTGGCTGTTTCCAGGAGCCGGCCGGCCGTGCAGCTGCACCAGCCGCGGACCTTACCCTGGATGGGAACCCTGTTCCCATCACAAGCGGCGGAAGCTTCTGGTGGGAGAGAGGAGCAGAGGCAGTCAGATGAAGGTAAAACGGACTCAGATCCTAGAGAAAAGCTTTCCAGGCGAGAGTGAGTGGTTCGGAGGCCGTTGTCTGCTCATCCTGCAGGAGGGATGTGGCTTCCTAACTAGGGAAGGGTGGGCTCCCCACAGGTCTGAGACTTCTTCTGACTTAGTGACTGGCTGCATTAAGGTCATCCTCTAAGCTTTTGTTTGGAACAAAAAGCTAAAAAGGACAACTCAGTGAGCACCTGAGTCCCGACTACCCTGCCTAGTCAATAAGCATTGAAACCTCCTGGATGTTCTGCCTCAGCCCCCGGGCCCGTCTCTACTCCAGTGAAGCCGCTTGTTGGACTAGGCTTATTGGCACATTCAAACGCGCAGCTTAGAAGCTGGCCGGTTCAGTGGCGCTTCGAAGGGTTAGTCTGGTGCGGGTGGGAGTGAGGCCTGAGACCTGCTCCTGTGGTACCAACTTTGGGCACGTCTCCCTGCTCCATGCGACAGGCTGCCCGCCCCTGACTGCTGCCCTTTTAGTCTGATGGGCCACTCCTGCCTGTTGCCAGTGCCTTACCCTGATCCCCAATGTAACGCTGTGAAATGTGGTTGATTTCCAGACCAAGTACACACTGATAGACGAGCAAGACATCCCGCTGGTGGAGGGCTACTCCTTTGAGGTAAGGACCGCCTTCCCTTCGCTGGCCTGCTTTCTGGCGGGCAGTGCCCGGGCAGGCTGTGAGGGATGGTTTTCTTCCCCGAGATGTGAGGGCAGGACCTTGTGTGTGAACATGGGTCTCAGTGCTGCCTGTCACGCCGGTCCTCCTGCACTTCGACTTTTCTTGCCAGCTTTTCCTAAACAGACCCAATTGTGTCACGTTTGCAACTGGGTGTTCAGTTGGACAGGCCCCCGTTCCTTGGGAGACTGTTCCATGCCACCTGACTGTTTTTCCCTGGCATTGGCCCCGCTGTCTGTCCTGGTGCCCAGTGCTCCTTCCTCTCATCTTCTGATCACCCCGCCTTGCTCTGTTTGAACCACCCGCTCCTACCTTAGGGACACTCTCCAGGTGTCTGTGGGCCAGCACCCTCATTTCTGCCCTTCACGGTCTCACAGTGGTGTCTCGTGCAGGGGTTCACTTTGCTCACAGGATTGTGGGCTTTTTGGGGCGGGGGAGGGTGAGTTGCTATGCCCACAAGATTGTGCAGAGTGCTTCATGAGTGCATCTTGCTTGAATTCAGGGAGGTGAGGAGGGTGCTTGTTGGGACACGCTGGCTTCTCCGTGGCTTCTCCGTGCCGCGTGTCTGTGGGAGCTCCTGCAGACTCCCAGGGCCCCAAGAACAGGCCTGGCATTTGTTCCTCTGCTTGTTCACATTGCCCAATTTTTCTAAGAGGTGTTTGAAATGTTGCTGAGAATCGGAGGCTTTCTGACAACCTCTTCCTGTTCCTCCCAGGCCCGGATGGAAGTCGACGCAGATGGAAATGGCGCTAAGATATTTGCATGTGCCTTTGACAAAAACCGAGGAAGGGGGTCGGGAAGGCTTCTTCATGAGCTGCTGTGGTGGGTAGTTTTGAGCTCCTTGTCCCCCCCCCCCCTCGGGTCGTGCATGAACCCTGATGTGTGTGGAGCCAGCGGAACCACCTTCCTCGTTGACGGATAGTGCTTTTGTGTCATTCCCGTTAACTGAGGAACAAGTGGCTACATATTGTGGCGCTGGTGGGGCAGCCTAAAGTCATCAGTCACCAAGTGCCCTTTCTGCTCAGGCGCTCCCTCCGGAGACACAGCTGCCTCTGGGGCAGGGTGGGGCCTGGTCCCTTCTGGGCTCTTGCTGGGCCTGTTAGAGGGATGTGGGGAAAGGGCGGCTTCCCTCAGCGTGCTCTGTAGGGTTCTGAAATGCTTGGGGCCACTCACGTGTGGCGTTTTCTAGGCTACGTATTAGATGGTTTGGAGCCCTAGCCATGGCCCCGAGCAGCCTCGCTTTTTAATCCAAGGGCTGACCTGCCAACGTGGTGTGTCCATTGGGCCACAGACTGACACACGTAGCGTCCTCTGGGCAGCCTGCACCTGCTGCGTTCCCGTCACGGCAGTGTGAGGAGGGCTGGTTCAGACCACGTGGCTGACAGGCTTGGGCAGGTCTGGGAGGCTGCGCTAGAAAGCTGTCTGTCTGTCCCCAGGGAGCGGCACCGTGGGGGCATCGCTCCTGGCTTCCAGGTGGTGCATCTGAACGCGGTGACCGTGGACAACCGCCTGGACAACCTGCAGCTGGTGCCATGGGGCTGGCGGCCCCGAGCAGAGGAGACCTCCAGCAAGCAGAGGTGGGTCGCTCAGGCTCCCGTGTCTGCACGCTGCTCCAGTGCTTCGTGGGTTTGGGCACCAGGGGGTGGGGTCCTCCTTTCTTTGTGGAGGCAGGGTAAGGTTCTGACGGTTATCTTTTTGGGTCGGTCTGGTGATTGGCTCCAGTGAGGACGGGGCTGCCTGGGCTGGATGCCTGCACATGCATGGCCAGACTTCTTCGTGACCCGAGACATGTCAAGCGTCTATCTCAAGGGGCCTCCTGTGCACACAGATGGGCTTTTTTGTCCTGCTCTTGCTAAAGAGTTGGCCTAAGCAGTGGGTTAACGAAAGGCAGACTGGCTTGGGGGCTTGACCTCCGCCTTGCCATGGTCCTGTAAACTGCGCTTCTGCTCAGGATGGCACAGGCTGCCCACTTGAGTGGGTAGGATGCTCCAGGGACAGTTCCCGGGGACAGTGGCCCGGGAGCAGCCCCGCTGTGAGCTTCATGGAGCCTTGGGAAGAGGTGGGGACCAGCAGGACGGGAGCCAGGAGCTGACACGAGCCAGGGAGCAGGTGCATTAGGGGCTAGAGGGGCCGCCCAGGGTTTCTGAGTGTGTCCGTAGGCTCTGGGCAGCTTCCTGATACTGGTGGTGCTGAGTGTCAGCAGACAGGTGTCAGTGAGGTTGGATGGGCCAGTGTCCTCAGGATCTTGGCAGATGGAAGACAGTGGGTGAACCACTGCAGTTGTCCCCTCAGGATCTGGCCACTCCATGAGCAGCGGCAGTGGGAATGGTGGGATGGTCGGTGGTGAGGAGCGGGTCCAGGCTCTGGAGCAGGGCTTGGCTCCCCGCCTTAGGTTCTCCTCGTGATGTAGGTTTTGGCCCTGAAATTCCTTCTTCTTGAAGGAAACTGACTCTTCAGGATGGTTACCCTCTTGGGGGTCATGTTAGTATGGCCTTGGTTGAAAGTGACAGAAACTGGCATCCCTGTCTGACATGTAAAGCCAGGGCTGCCACCTCGTTTTCCTTCTGGTGTGGCCACCAGAGCTACAGACTCACTTCCCACAGGTGGCATGTCCCCGGGAAGTCTTGGGGCTGACTAGTTAGCTTGCTTCAAGTCACTCTCAGCCAAGAGCAGGGGACAGGAGGGCTCTTCCAACAAACGAAACAAAGGCTGCGTTATCGTCAGGAGGGTAAGGGCATCTCAGCAGGCCAGCCAGTGTCCATGGATTCGCCCTGGGCCATCCAGTGTGGGTACTGGGGCCCGGTCTCCCTGACACCATAAGGTCTCCTGCTGCTCACTGCAGCCTGGGGGACACTGCCCACCTTCTCACCCGGCAGTGGATCTGCCTATGCCAGGCAGTCTGGCCTGTGAAATCTGGTGTTTCAGGTGGGTCTCCATGTGACTTAGGGTTAGGCCAAACCGTGGCTGACTAGACGGACCCCTGCTCATCCTTTGGCAGGGAGGTATGTAGACCGCAGTCAGAAGCACCTGTTTGGGGAAGGATGGGCCACCCAGACACCCATCCAGTGGTATCTGCTGGGCTGAGCCTGGCCTCCCCATTCTGGAGGCCACCTCGGGAGGTGCAGCACCAGCCTCCTGTGGCCGTCCTTGGTCTAGACCCTCAGCAGCGTCAGAGCCACCCAAGCGTGGCCCGAGCTCACAGCTGGCCAGGGTGTGGCATGCGCTTCATCATTACAGGGTAGTTCTGTTTAGCTTTTTGAGGAGGCTGCATACAGTTTTCCACAGCGACTGCTCCATTTCACTTTCCCACCAGCAGTGCACAAGGGGGCTCTCTCTTCTCCACATCCTTGCCAACACTTGTTTTTGTTTTGTTTAAATTGAGGTATAATTGACAATTTTCTGGGTGGTGGCCATTATAATGGGTGTGAGGTGGTGTCTCACTTGTTTTGATTTGCATTTCCCTGATGACTAGTGACATCGAGCATATTTTCATGTGCTGGTTGGCCATTTGTGTGTCTTCTTTGGAGAAACATCTATTTAGATGCTTTGCCCGTTTCTTTTTATTAATTAATTAATTTATTTATTTATTTAGCTGAGCCATTCTGTCACCTGTTGGCAGCTCAGCTCAGGCTGGGAATCGAACTGGCGACCCTGTTGCTCAGAGCTTGCACTCTTTTTTTTTTTTTTTTTAAATTATTTTTATTGGGGAATTGGGGGGAAGGGGAACAGACAAGTTGATGTCCTTTTGTTGTTCAGTCTAGTTGTGGAGGACGTTGTTTCACTGGCCCAAGGTGGCACCATCATTGCGCTCTTCCC